AGGATCCCGCGGCCTAGGTCGTCTCCTCAAATGTCTTTATTTTATATTAGAAAGGTAGTGGGAGTTGACTTTTCATATCCCAGAGGATATATCTAAGAGGATTTTTTAAATAATGTTTTTTTCTGTATTTAGGACTGGGTCTACAGGGTCTCTAGGGTCTCACTACATAGATCGACTTTTAGTGATTCTCTTATTTTCAGCCTCCCAAATGTTGGGAGTATAGGCACGTGCCACCATGGCCAGTCTCCATCGCTGTCTCAGTGTGCTCCACCGGCAGGGCCTGCACGGCACACCAGGGATCAAACCCTGGCCACTGCTCTCTGCTAAGCAGGTGCTTTAGTCTGCTGAGCTATCAAAAAAAGCACTTAATGAAGATGATCATATTTTTGTCTGCTTAATTATATGGAGGTCACAGAAGTAAAAAGGAGTCAGATTTTTGGATTCAGCATGCTACTTGACATATGAACAAGAAATAAATATGGTAAATTTTAAAAGTCCTAATTCAAAAGCATGTCTCAGGAATCCCATTGTTGGCTCCAGGATGACAGAGAAGCACTGATCCAGCTTGCTGCATGAGCTCCCTTTCTGCAGAGCTTTGGCTCAGGAACAGCAATGACCATCCTAAGCCAGAGCTTAGCTGACTGAGGAAAACAGAATGGGGCAGCCCTGAGAAGACAGCTTTGAGAAGTCAGGACAGTCTTGTGGACCAGTGGGATACTGTTTTGGGTACCAAAGAGAACAGATACATGCAGCGCAATGTCTGCACAAAGAACATGATTAATGTGTGTTTATTTGCTTCATCTACCCATTCTTGCATGTAACATGGTTCCTTTTCCACACACAGAAAGGATGAAATGCACTGTTAGTCACTTTGCTCATTTTATACCAGGAAAAATATACTGTTATTAATTTGGTGACTAAGTCTACAAATTCATGTATTACCCGTTGAAAGAATATATGGTTTAATAAGAATTTTATCATACATTGTTTGTTTATAACACTTACTTACGTGGTTGACCTCACTAGAATTTCTTGTAGGCAGAAATCTTAGTGCTTTGCCCATACCAGTAGATAAACTTTCATAATTGTTCTCATGTCCATGGAGAGAGAGAGAGAGAGAGAGAGAGAGAGAGAGAGAGAGAGAGAGAGAGATTTGTTTCAGTGATTGTTAATTCAGGCTCAGTATCTAAATTTGGATTCTGGATAGTACACTTACTAGAAAATTGCTTCATGCTCATTTCTGTTTCTTCATATCTAAGTGGTAAAATTAATATCTATTCACTATGCAGTTGAGAAGAATAAGCAAAATCTTTTGTCTACAGAATAAATGCCCAGGAACCATACAGAAAGAGCAAAGATCATCTATGGATAAAAGACTTCTCTGGGTGACTCCATGTGTTCCTTTCTGCTAGGAGCACCAGCAGAGGAAACTGCTGCCCTGGTCCAGGGAGCCTTAAGAGTCAGGGGTCTCTTGCATTCCTCTACCTTTCTATCTTCCAGCTCCCAAACCACTGCATCACTAACCATTAATGTGTTCAGTGCATACCATATTTCATTGATACCTATATCCATTATTCTATGTTTGCTTATGATTATAGTATAGTACAAATTTGACATCTCAGTGGTTCAGTTATATTTATGTAGGTAAAGACCCACGAGGATTTTATGGAAAGTGTTTGATCTTAATCTAATTTATCATATACTACATTAGACTAAAACAAGATGGGAAGTTTCCAGAGTGAATATATGCTAAGATATAGAAACACCATGACCACACACAACTCAGAAAAAGATTGGTTTCTTCACATGCACTGACATACCAAAGACCTTTTTGTGTCTGTATATTTTTACTTGGCAAAACATAGCTTGTTAAATATTTTTAAGTCACTTAAAGTTTCAATTTTAATATTTTAACAGATATTGTCTTCATTTACTGATAAAGAGCTCGCTGCCTATGCAAAAGCTGGAGCCGTAGCTGAAGAAGTCTTAGCAGCCATCAGGACTGTGATTGCATTTGGAGGGCAAAGCAAAGAACTTGAAAGGTTTGAGTTTCTTCTTACTTTTTATTTTTATTTTTATTTTACTTATTTCTTTGTTTTTGTTTTTGCTATGTAGTCCAGGCAAATTCTCCAGCCTTAGCTGCCCAAGTGGGAATTACAGGCATTCACCACCATGCCTGATTCTGAGTTTCTTATTTAAATTGATAAATATACTAAATTCTGTGTCAGCTATATGTCCTTGGGACAGTTTTAACTACAAGAATTTATTTTCCAGTATAAATATGCTTTGTTAAATAACAATGGATGTATTACAGTATTAGTAATGGAAAATTTGAAATTCTAGTCATTGTTTTTTATAATACTCTTCTGCTATTTGAGAGAATTTTCTAGTGTTGTCTAGATGAGCAGTGACAAAATTAATTTATAAATAATCTGTAAAATAATTTCCTAAGACTAAAACATGTTTTATATCTCTGATTGGTATGATTTTTGACCTATTGAGCTCATTTCTGTTCTCTAATATTGAATGCTTATTTTCTATAAGGTCTATGGAACATTTTAATATGTGGATCATTCTTGCCCAGGTCCCTACATAGGTGAATTATATTCTATGAGATGATAAAAATATAGCTAAAAACACACCACCATAAAGAAACTGAAGATTTTTCTTATGATGTATCACTTAGCATTATTCTTGGGCTTAACCTTTTTCTCAGATATCTGAGTATAAAGGTCAAAGTTTTGCAATTCATACGTCATCAGACCTGTTGTAGAAACATAGTAAATGTTTCTGAGTAGTAACATTTAATACATATATAGGAAAACCATTTTTTGCTTAGGGAATTAAAAATTGTGTTTTAAAGCCATAAGGAAAATTTGTGCAAGTCAGGATGTGACTTATATTACTAGGGCAAGATGAGAGCTTGTGTGGTTAAGAGCAAGACATGTGGCTCCTGGTTTTCCAGGTCTGATAGCGTTTTCTTTCATCATCTTAGATGTGCTTAAATTAATCATCATGGTAGAATTTTTGTTTTACAAGGTACCTGTGTATTTGGAGGTCTCTTTTGCTCATGAAGACAATTTACAACTGCTAAAATCCATTGTTTAAAAGAAGGCAGTATCTGCAGTCCAAGTATGATTTTTGCCAAGTATTTTCTTTTGCTTTAAAATATCTGACTAACAGAATGACATGTATAACATGATCATTGGCTCAATATCTCATCAAAAAATAGGAGGAGAGGAAGGATACAGGCAATTACAAATAAATAAGCATCTAATATTTGAGTTGGAAGAAGTATTCTTTAGAAAAGTACAGTACTGTGAGTTAAAAGAAGTATTGTTTGTCTGCTCCCTTTTCTACTCTTTATTTTCATTCATTTTTTATGGCATTTAAATGATTTTCTTCTCCATTGTTCCTTCTTTCTCAGCAACATTTCTTCTTGCTGCATAGGGCAGCATTATATCAGTGAAATGGTGCCTACAGTCTTGATGAGCAAGACCTGAAATACAGGAGCTGATGGCATATGAGTCAGAGGCATTAAAATTCCTTGCTGTAATCATGGATAGTTGTGACAAGTGGTACCTTTTATTTCGGCTCCATTACTAAATTGGGACACATATATGTGCTCTAATGAAACATGTTTCTTAAAATTAATTTTTTATTCATAGATTTTGTTGGCAGGGCAGGATTTATATATTTTAGCAGTGTAACGTTTTGCTTAAATTTGATCATTAGTGGACAGGATTGTCATATAAATTTCATTTGGCCTGCTTTTGTAACTGTGGCACAGTAGCTAATTCTAAAAGTAGTTGTGAAGACCAGAAAAAATACATCCTCCTGTTTGGCCAGGGCTTGAACTCTACTATACATACAAATAAAAGAACTTTCCAAC